TGGGTCCAGGGGTCCTCCATCCACACCCATTCCCAACCGCCCGGAATATCCCTCGTTCTCCCCCTTATATCCCCTACCCCTGCTTCAATCTCCTCCCCTCTGTTTCCCGCCTGAACTCGCCCCGGTTCCCGGGTGATTTTTAACTACTTCATGACCTCCTCTAGGTCATGGGTGTCCACCCCCTTGTTTAGGGTAAGGGATCCGACGCATTCTTTTCCCCAATCAGGGGTCTCCACTCCTTTCTCTTCCCGTCGCGGTGGGGATGGCGGGGGGGATGTCTGTGTCTGGTGGGTACTCTTCGGGAGCAGCGGCACTCCTACCATAGCCTCCATTTTGGGAGCCTCACAGTCAACCACTGCTTTTCTAAACCTTCCTACCAGGTCAACTGTGAGAATGCTCAAGAAACAGCAAACCATGAATACCTTTCTTATGAACTGTATGTATACACCATCTTGAAAAAGAATATGACTAAGCAAATAACATGTCACCAATAAAAGCCCTGACAGATCACTGAAAACTCTTATGTTTCTGACTGAGTTGAACTCATGTTCTACATTTATTATACAGTGGTGCCTTGACTTACGAACGCCTTGACCTACAAACATTTTGAGTTACAAACAGCTCCGTTCACAAAATCTTGCTTTGACTTGCGAACGGAGCTTTGATTTACGAACAGAAAAAAGACTGGGGAAAAGGGCAGGAAATTCAAGTAGCTAACTGTAGGTGGCGAGAAAGCTGCTTCTTTGTAGCTCTTTTGCGCCAGCAGTTAGAGAGTGTGCGATCCGAGGAGGCTGCCTGCTGAGGTAAGGTGTTGTTTTATACAGTACTTAAAAAAAAACTGTTCTGGGTATTTTTGCAGCGTGATTTTTGGCTTGGGGGGTTAGGTTTCTGTGCTGTGATGGGTCTTGGGTGAGTGTTTGTTTTTTTGGTTCCCACCAATTTCTGATGGGGAGGGTCGGTTCCTTTTTGGAATGTTTTTTCCCATTTCTGATGGGTCTTGGGGAATTTGTTTGTTTGTTTGTTTTTTCCCCCCTTTCTGAAGAGTCCTGGGAGGTTTGGTTGCTTTTGGGGGTTTCTTCCCCCATTTTCTATGTGTCTTGCATGCTTTTTGCTTTGTTCTCTTTGCATTTCTGATCTGCTCAGTTTGTTTTCACAAAAGTTCATGTATGCTTCCCTTGCTTTTTTGCTTTGTTCTCTTTACATTTCTGATCTGCTCCGTTTGTTTTCGCAATAGTTCATGCCTGCTTCCCTTGCTTTTTTGCTTCGTTCTCTTTGCATTTCTGATCTGCTCAGTTTGTTTTCACAATAGTTCATGTATGCTTCCCTTGCTTTTTTGCTTCGTTCTCTTTGCATTTCTAATCTGCTCCGTTTGTTTTCTGTGCCTTTGCAGTGGTTCCTGCTTGCTTCCCTTGCAAATCAGAAAAGTTTTTGCAAGGGTCTGTGCTGGCTTGGTTTAAAATGAGTTGGTTTAGCATGTGTTTTAGACTCCAAACTCTCTCCCTCCCTCATTGTCTTCTCTCTGTCTGTCTCGCTCCTTTCCTGCATTTTAAAAACCTAAGTCATCTTAGGTTAAAAAAAGAAAAATTCTCCCCGTAGTGGTAGAGGACGGATTAACCGGTTTTGCATTAGTTCCTATGGGAACGAACACTTTGACTTACAAACCGTGCCTTGACATAAGAACAAAAAACAGCCAGAAAAGATTAATTGGGTTTCAGTGCTTTCTTATGGGAAATGCTGCTTTGACTTACAAACGTTTTGACTTATGAACACCATTCCATTACGGATTAAGTTCGTAAATCAAGGCACCACTGTATCTGCTCTATAGCCTGTATCAGTCTGAAACTGATATTCCCAATTAGGCATTCTCCACAGGCACAGTGAAATACTCTTATTTGCAGTCTTATTGGGATACAGAAAATCTTCAGAAACAGTGAGCCACACAGCCACATACATGAGTTCTTCGATCAAGTTGGTTTGCCAGGAATACTACAGATAAACAGACAAAGCACCAGAAGAAGATTATTCAAGCTACCTGTTTTCCAGTGCTTCATATTTCAAAATTGCTGTTAAGAATAAAGAGCAGAGTCTTCTACAGTTCTAAAAGAATTTCTGTCTGCTACTTCACTGATGTCAGTTATGCAACTAATGCTCGCATAATAATACTGTAATAAAAAAGCTGCTGCTTCCACAAGCACCCAATGAATCTAAATCTCACACTATCAAGTGACCTAATTAGCTTTGTATTTAATTGAGGTGCCACCACAACAATCACTTTTGGGGAAGAAAGATGTAGTTTCTGATATATGAGTTCTTCTCTCCTTCTGGTTTTATTACTGTTAAGCATTATGTGGGTAACCACTAAAATGGTCTCCCCATCCTGTCCTTAGTTTTTAGCCACAGAAAGTGGCAAACCATGAGCTTCAAAATGCCACAACCTAAACCACATGTAATTCATAGCGTTTAAGGCCGTTTCCATGTATGCCCATTCTATTCAAGTGACACGTATCTGTCACTTAAAGCAGGAGGGCAGCTATCATGCAAGAACAGTAATTTAAGGTTTCTAATTTTAAAAAGCCACTGATGTTTAATGTATTATTTTTAAACATCCAACAACAATTCAGTCTGAACAACTCGTATGCAGTCAGCTAAAGCACAGACATAGAAATTGAGCGAGCTGCAGTAGTGCAATTACACCGGAAAGCAAAGAAAATAGATTTCCAAAAGAAGCCACTACGGAATCCTAGAAGTCAGCACTTAATCATATTCTGTTCTGACAGCACACCGTGAAATCAAATGAAACTTGAGAAAGACGGCTGGTTGTTGAGGAAGCCATCAGCACAGGTTTACTTATTCCTTGGAGTACCCTGCTTATCCTCCTCTGTAACCAAGAAATGGTGACCCTATTCCCACTGCCAGCAATTTATGAAATCCAAGAATCCTTTGTGAATACCAATCCAAGAGTATTTCTTCTATTGGCAGTTAAGTGTCATGAAAAGTACATGTTTTACCACCAAAATATAACAATGAAATTTGAGAAGAATATGTATTATGCTGGGGTGTCAAACCAACTGCAAAATATGAAGTTAACCAGTTACCTCCAGAATTCCTTGTTTTCAACTCCTTAATTAGCTCTTTGTTCTTAGACTGACTCTAGGCCAAACTTTGCTGACTAACTGGAACAGAAATATATTGGCAACAAATTATGGCACTAACTGGCAGGGTCTGAGGTCTGTTAAGACTGCTTTCTTGACAGGACTTTTACAATTTGTTGTTGTTGTGTTTTAATTGAAGAATTAACTCACCAAGTGAGACTTCCCCACGCCACCTGAGCCAAGGACCACTAGCTTGTACTCACGCATGATGTGGTCTATTCAAACACTCACAATCTAGAAAAGAGAAATAATGAAAGTTAAGCTCTTTAGTGAAATAACACACAGGGGATATAGTGGCTCGCCATGCAGTGGGTTTCTCCACACCATTGGTAAGCCTCTACATTTTCTTCTGAAGGCTGATCAGTTTGGCCAATGACAGACAGTAGTATCACGTGCCACTAAAATTATACTCATGTTTCTTCCAGTACATGGCTTTCTCCCTCATCACAGTATTCTCTCAACACTCCTATGAGGAAAGTCAGACTAAAGACAGAATGACTGGGTCAATGAGGACCACCTGGTAAGTTCCATGGTTCAGTGGCAGCACAAACATGGGTCTCCCAGGTTTTGGTCCAGCATTTTAACAGCTACGTTGCAAACCACCATGGTTTGATGCTTAGCAAGCTAGCAGCTGCTAAATATACAGACCTGCCCTGATTGCTAATGATTATTTGTGGCTAACTCCACAAAGTTTTACTTTTCAGTTTTCAAACAGGTACTGAAGACATAAGGATGGGATGGATAAACTTTCTGCAAGGTTTCATACAAACGTATAATTTTTAATAAGTGACTGGGGCCAGTGCCGCTTTGTTCAAAGGGCAAAGTGGGCATTTGCCCATCATTGTCTGTAGGGGCCCACATGTTTTTTTGCCCTCCATGATAGTGCTGCGCAGCCTGCTGCTCACTGGGCCTTTGAAGTTTTATGTGTGCTTGCACCGTTTGAGCACTGGCGGCACCCACAGCCTTTTCTCCCGCCACCCGCATCATCAAGGACCCCAGCTGGTGGCAGGCACAGACAGCATTGAGAGGCTGTTTTAGGGGCTAAGGTGGCAGAAAGAGGCTATTCGGAGGCTAAAATAGTGCAGAGATGCTGTTTGGAGGCACAGAGGGCATGATGTACAAGATTTATGCATTTACTGTTTATTTCCATGATACACAAAGTTTACGCATTTACTGTTCACTGGCATGATGATACACCAAGTCTATGTATTTATTGCTCATTGGCATGATATATCAAGTCTATGCATTAAAATTGTGTGTTTGCAAAATTCTCCTTCTATTGGGAGAATATCTTATCTGTTAGTATTGATTAATTCTTGGAACTTACATTGTTCATGTTGTGTGACCTATTGTTAATTCTTGGAAATTACATTGTTCATGTTGTATGACCTATTTAGGTGGGAGGTAAGGGAGAGGAAATGAGGTGGAAGGGGGGCACTACTATATATATTTTTGCCCAGGGCCCACTAGAGCCTTGAATAGGCCCTGGCTGGGCCTTTCCCTCCACCTGTATGCTCAATTAGTGAGATACCATTTCCCTCTTTCTCAATTCTTTGTGATGGATAAAAAAATTGTGGGAGAGGTATCCCATGAACAGAAGCACTTTGTGGGACACCAGTTACAACCTGCTGACCATAGCTGTGAAATCATAGATGCACAGAAGCCTGACAAGCCTTGAATAGGCCCTGGCTGGGTCTTTCCCTCCACCTGTATGCTCAATTAGTGAGATACCATTTCCCTCTTTCTCAATTCTTTGTGATGGATAAAAAAATTGTGGGAGAGGTATCCCATGAACAGAAGCACTTTGTGGGACACCAGTTACAACCTGCTGACCATAGCTGTGAAATCATAGATGCACAGAAGCCTGACAGTGTGCAAAACCTACAAGTTGGGAGGAACAATCAATCAAAAAAGCGAGTTTTTAGTTTAAACTGTCAAAAAATTGGATTTTTAAAAAATCCCTGATTTACAAGCTTTGAATTCACAGCTATTTGTGTTGAAAATCAAATAAATCATACTTTGGATCTATAAAAAAGTATTATTTTACTTATTTATCTTGCCTATCCAGAACAGAAGGAAGTATTAGCTATGTGAAACCCATTAAAAATCAAGTAACCTTAGAGAAGAGGAAGAATGTGTTAATTTCAGCTTTTGGTAAATAATGTACAGACAACAGACAAAATCCTCTTTACATCTTTACATATTACTTTAACTGGTAATTCGTATTCTCTTCGAAAGCAATATTAGAAATGGAAAAAAGAACCAAAATGGAAACTCATACAAAACTCCAACAGCTGAGTATCTGATATGCAACCACCCATAATACAAATTCAATTGTTCAAAAACCTCCAGTTTATGAGTGTGGGATGTGGGATATTGCACTTCTGTACCCATGATTCAAAAAGCCACGAGGTGGCCCAATATTGCTGCAAAATATCATACCCACGATGCCATCAGGAAAAAGGATGCCAACCTTTACATAGCAAAGGGCAGCCTGAATGCTGACAGCACCAATGGCAGCAGTCAAGATGGTCTAGGAGATCCTCTTCTGCTCATTACCATTCACGCTTGTTGAAAACAGCCCTGACAATTGCTTTGTTTTTGTGTGAAAAGTGGTTAACTAATGTAAAAAGGAGTCATCTTCTGGGATTTTCCCTTGCATGTTTCACTTTGTGAATGGTAGTGGTTGGTGCTGGGGGACTTCTGTTCAACATCTTGACCATCAGCTGTGGAGTGTCTCAGGGTTTCATGATTCCATGTACTATTTCACATATACACGAAAAACCAGAAAGAGGCTGTCCAGAATTTTATGGTCTGGAACCACCAGTGTGCTGATGACACCCAACTCCATCTGCTTTTTAAGAACTTCCAGGAGGCCCTTAACCACTTCCCATACAATCACAAAGCAACCATCGGGGACGTTTTTCAACAAGTATGAAAAACTTGTGGCAGGTACACATTGATGCATGTATTGGTGGCACTGGTACTCTGGCTTAAACAGATTTTTTTAAAGCAAACTGCAAACATGAAAACATATATTTTGCCAATTAACCCAATGTCTCAATGCTACTGATTGAATATGTAGCAGTGGGGTTGCCCCTAGGCTGAATAAAATATGAGTTATAAGTAAACCCACATGATTTCAAAAACGCTTACTTCTATGTAAACATGTTCAGTATTGCATAGTTAACAACCATCGGGGATGTTTTTCAACAAGTATGAAAAACTTGTGGCAGGTACACATTGATGCATGTATTGGTGGCACTGGTACTCTGGCTTAAACAGATTTTTTGAGCAAACTGCAAACATGAAAACATATTTTGCCAATTAACCCAATGTCTCAATGCTACTGATTGAATATGTAGCAGTGGGGTTGCCCCTAGGCTGAATAAAATATGAGTTATAAGTAAACCCACATGATTTCAAAAACGCTTACTTCTATGTAAACATGTTCAGTATTGCATAGTTAATGGATCAGGCAGATAGTTGTGCAACTACATATCTCACAGTGACTGATAGAAGAAGCAAACAGATGCTTTGCAATTACAAGATGATAAAACATTATTCCTTCAAAAGTCTATTTTTTCAGAGCTTCCATACTTGTATTTGTAAATGAACTGTGTTTAACTCCCAATCAACAAGCAAAAACAAACTAAAGTGCTACTTGCAAAGCTACAAAACCTCTTTGTGTGTGTGTGTTGGGGGGGAGAGGAATATCCTTTCACTCTTAAGGGAACTTAGCTGCAGTTTCATCTGTTTCTGCCCTGATGCACCATTATCATCTAACGCACATGAGCAATCTCAGCATAAACATCTCCAACCAGGAGAAAAAAACTTAGGGAGTTTTTAGTGTGCTTTTAAAATAATTTTCTCATTATTTCAAAGAAGCCCAAATGGAGATCATGCAATCCTGGACTAGATTCTGCTTTTCAAGGAGCATTTAAATGCTACTTTATCAGCTTAGATGCACAGTAACAAGAAACCATATGCTTTAAAAATGCAACGACAACTTTGTTAAAGTGGAAGCATACAGGCAAGAGGAAAAGAAGGGCACATAATTAAGTCCCAATATATTAATCTCACAGTTTAATTCAGGAATCAGCAAATTATGTCCTTCAATCGAATGTGGCTCTCAAATTTCCTCAACATTGGCTATATAGGCTAGAGCTGAAGGGAGTTTTACTCTACCGACATATGGAGGGCTATAATATCTGACCCAGGCCGCCATAGGCATGAAGTTTCAAACCAAGCACAACGCACAGCAGTCTTTGCTTCCAAGAGTCTAATTTCCAAAATACTGGGGAATGGGAGAGATAAAGATGGGATTACATGGCTTGAAAAAAGGGATGGGGTTGAAAATATATCACCAAGAAAACCCAGATCAAATCTGCAGCAACTCCACTTGTAACACAAGATGCCAAGTCCTACAATGGATCTTTTCTGCTCTGGTTTATTTATACACGTTGCAGTTTCAGGTGGTACAGGATTCCCTTTTCTCTGTCCTCTGGCAGGGTCCCACTCCACAGCTCCCTGTGGCTTTATCCTTTGCAACCCATTCTCCCTGCGGTTCCCACCTCCTGATATATCTCATTCTGTTCCCTCACCATTTTTTCCTCAAGCGGCAAGCAACCCATGTTCCTTGCTCATCAATCTGGAGCAAGTGGTGGCCACCTCTTCTCCTTTTCTCTTCTCTCAGCTAACCAGAGCCATCTGTTCCATTTCCTCTTCTTCCCTCCCTCTTCTTCAACCCACTGCAGTCACACAATCTACTCCTCCACAGGAGGCAGCTTTTCTTCTCTTCCCCCTCTCTACCCCTGATGCCCAGTGGCCATTTGCTCAAAGCCCTAGCACCACCACAAAAGCAGGCCAAGGCCACCTGATGGTGCTCCAAAGTGGCTGCAGTGGTGAAAGGGAAGGTGCCAAGCACCTATGAACATTCACACTCTGTATGTCTTCATCAGATTAAACATAGAGAACTGCTACAGCTTGTATCTGTGTTACAAGAAGAGAGACTGCTAACCTGCAGTAACGTTACTAGACTTTCCTAAGGTGTATTTTCTGCTGGGGAGAGCAGACAGTACAAAGAGTTAACAAAAGAGGAGTTGTGACTGGAAATAAAGCTTCAAGTAAGTGAGAGACCAATTCAGCCCTCAGAGATTTCTGAAAATTGTTTAGACACACCAAGGATAATGAAAAAAACAACACTCTTATTGTTTGATCTTAAATGGTTTCAA